GGGACTAGAACTCACAGCCTCCTGGTGATTGGCCCAAAGTCACCCAATTGGCTTTCATACCTAAGGCAGGACTAGAACTCACCGTCTCCTGGTGATTGGCCCAAAGTCACCCAGCTGGCTTTCATGTCTAAGGCAGGATTTGAATCCATGGTCTCTTGTCTACCTGGAGATTCCTGGGAGTTGCAGTCCACACCTCTTTAACCCTGCCAAGTTTGGGAAACACGGGATTAACCAAAATGTGGCCTCCCTGAGAGGGAGAGTTTACAAATCCAGCATATTTTGCCTCGTAGACATTGAAGGTTAACGCCGAGATGAGTTCAGTTCCGAGTTTTTATTCACTCTCTTGCTTTAAAGCAGGTTTGTAGGTTTTATATTGCTTGCATTCTTTTTCTTCTTCTCCTTCTGATATTTTGAAATAAGCCGTGTGCCATTTTTGGTGCCTTCTCCAAATAGCTTTGTAAAATCTTCCAGAACACCTACCTTTCTGAGTGGGTTAAAAAAGGATAAATAAATCACCAACCTACAGAGCAAATTACAATGCAGGTGCTTAAAATCAGACATGAGAGGTGCTATTTAAGTTCCTTATTCCAATGTATGATTATTTTTTCCCTCTATTATTATTATTATTATTATTTTTCCCGGAGGGACGCAGGATAAATATGGCCTTGGAGAACATTTTATTCATAAATAATCTAAGGAGGCGCTGAGTAGATTGGCTTAGAAAGGGATTTGCTTTGCCAGGGACCACAGATATTTAGCAAGGAGGTTGTGACTGAACCAGCAAAAGATCTGATTTCTGTCTGCAGCTGAATTCGATTCCGTGGCTTCCTTGCGTGACTCGACTGTGTTTGTGTGCACAGATGCCCACAAGTCCCATCTTGGGTTGCAGTGGCCAGGAAAGCAGTGGATTCAGCAAAGGGAAAGGGTGATTCTTACGCTTATCATCAGCTCGGGAAGGGGCCTGGGAGATCATGTAGTCCAACCCCCCCCCCCTGCCTGCCATACAAATCACGGGTAGGAGGTCCCGGTAGCACTTGGATTAGCTTCAAGTCAAAACATCGCCTACTCACAATTTGGTCACACCCGCCTTGATGCTTCACTGTTAAAACAAGGACAGAGCCAAAACAATTGTGTGTCTCAATGCTGGCAACTTTCAGAGGGGTGGACTCGAACTCCCAGAATTCCCTGGGCCAGCCGGGGAATTCTGGGAGATGGCGTCCACCCCTCTGAAAGCTGTCGCGATTGAGAAACTGTAAGTTAGACCCTACTGTTAGCACCTTTCCTTGAAGTTCGGAAGCCCCAAGTCTTGGAAAGGCACTTTGCGCATGTTCAGAGGCTCCCTCTTCCCTCCCTTCCTTGCTCCAACACTGAGCTTTAAAACAGTTGAGGATGCTGGACCTCCTTCTCCTGTTCCTGGTTAGGGAAACCTGCACCTCTGAATTCTGCACCCCAAACTTCCTGACTGATGAAGGGAGTGGGCGAGGCAGCAAATGCACTCTGCGCATGACCAGAGGCACCGCTGGTGAGAGACTCAGAGAGCCAACCACACTTTTGCAGAAAGTCCAACCAAGTTTTTCTGGGGCTCTTGAGCAAGGGGTGGTGTTGCCAGGCTGATTCATATCGGCGGGAACCTCTTTGGGCTGGGTGTCGCCCCAAATTTAGTCTCAGGAAGAACCTGTCCTGCATGGTGGCCCCTCCCTCGTGGTACAGGCACACCCTGACAGCTCCTGCGATTGGGAACCAGCCTGGATTTGAACCCTTTCCCCGGTGGTTGGACAATGACACTCTGGAGGTGTCTGGTGGAGTGGAGAACGCCCACCTCCTCTCCGGGCAGCCTCTTCTCCCTCTTTCTCCCTCCTGCTAAATGTTATTCCAAAGGCATTTTTATATTTCTTTTTTTTCTTTTTACCCTTTTAAAGATATCAACCTTTAATGCTTGAATGCAGGAAGCTGCTCGGAGTTGTTTGTCATGAGGCAGCCAGGGAATAAATTCAATAACTAACTTACATAATTCTAATAACAATCCACAAATTGTGTTGTAATCTTCTGTTAAATCTATCTGTTAATAGCAATAGCACTTAGACTTTATCATGCTTTACAGCCCTGTCAAAGCAGTTTACAGAGTCAGCTTCTTGCCCCCCAACAATCTGGGTCCTCATTTTACCCACCTCGGAAGGAGGGAAGGCTGAGTCCACCTTGAGCTGGGATGGATGGATGGATGGGAGGGAGGGAAGGAAGTAGGGAAGGAAGGATGGAAGGAAGGGAGGAAGGATGGAAGGCTGACTCAACCTTGAGCCTGGTGGGATTCGATCTACCAAATTGCAGTAGGAGTAGATTGCAGTACTGCACTCTAACCATTGCACCACTGAGGCTCGATATATTAAGCACTGTAAATATGATTATTAATATATTATTTCTAGTAAAAGGAGTGATATTAAGAATACAGAGATTGACACAAAAACAACATACTGAAATACCAAATAATCAAGAATGATAATTTAACAAAATATGCATATTAATATCAA